ATTTGAGCTATTGAGCCGTCATCTTCCACCCAAACGAATAAGGTACCTGCAAAATAAAAGAGAAGAGGACAGATTAAGCCCATTTAAGCCCACCGTTGGTCAACTTGAGTAAACCAGTCAACTCAAGCCAATCAGCTTCTTTCTTCCTTGTCCATATCCTACCCCAAAGGGCAAAGAGAAAATGGTTGTTGCCTCTTGAAAAGAGGTCGGTGCCACCTTTCAAAACAATCAACTAATAGTTGCCACAACACACAAATTCTTTAAAAGATAAAGAGTGGGTACGCTTTATTGCCAAAACTGCTCTTTACTGTTTCATTTTTTGTCGTTATATGTCCACCCCTATCAACCACTTCCTCTTGCTTCGCCCCGTCAGCTGCCTCCGCTTCTTCTTCAACCCTTGCCCACATCAGCCGAGGAGAGCTTATCCCTTCCCTGTCCACTCCGCCATGCTTACCGTACACCAATGCCATGCCTTTGTTTTTGGAGTGCTGCAGTGGGGTTTGCGTGCAGATTTGGGGTGAGGAGTGGGGCGAGATTTGGGGAATGGGAGTGGGAGGGCAGTCACAGAACCGGAGGAGGCGGAATTCGTGGGTGAAGGGATGTCAGTGGAGAGAGATGGATCAACTCTCTGTTGGAACAACACGCTACTGCTCATGAGACACACACGCCATCGCCCATGATTTGTGCAATCCTCTCCTTGCTTCACTCGATTATTGGAAGAGATAGCTTCTCTACTTCACGCCAGACTATTCGACCCAAAATCTCTTCCGCACTCATCTCTTCTGGCGGCTGCGGTTACTGCTACAACCAGTGGCGGTGGGTACTCTCTTCTGCATTCATCTCTTCGCCGGCGGCGGTTACTGCTACCACCAACCAACGACGGTGGATACTTCTTTTGTATTCTACCCGTAGATTCGATGGGGGAATTAATGCTCTTGGTCAGTCTCCTTTGTTAGAATAGGGTTTACTTTCAGGTGTTGCCGACCACTTATGTGGTTTAAGCCGATTGATTGTTTTTTTTGTTCTTTTGTATATTTCTCTTTCCCTTTTCCAGTTATTCCCTTCATAATGGATACATGTCAGCTCAAATCGATGTTTGGTACTCGATGTGCTAAGGTCACGGAGAGAGGAAGGGTAGGGAAACATGGCTCAGGATGTTGCTGATAAGACGACTGCGGGAGCAAAGGCCCAGGACGAGATATGCAAGAACCGATCATTCTGGGCAAGAGAAGAATCCATTCGTCAGTTTTGGTTGAAGATTTGAATGGAGCTGGTGCACGCGTGTGAAAGCAATTTTATTTGTGATTAGTTCCTTCTTTGTAATGACTATGAAGTTTTATGGGGTTTGGATCTATAATTTTTCTTCTTTCTTATTTGGGTTGTTTAATTTACTAGCTCTTTGCTGATGAACCCACAAGAAGAACTGGTGAAACTCTTTCCCACTGGAAGATTGGAAGAAGATGATGAAGCATCTGGAAAGTCTTCATTAGGTAAACTCCTTGATGTTTATTCCATTTAGATTTATGTACAGCCATTGGGAAATCATCAGGATACTTTTGCCTTCTCAATCTCTTTCTCTTTCAGTGCCAATTGAGGGTCATATCTCTCTCTATATTAATTTGTCTTTCAAATGTTCTTGCTGAACTTCCTCAAAAGCTCCAGTTTCCATACTTTTTTGCTGTTTCTCTGTCCATAAGTTGTGACTGTTTGCCAGGTTGGAGCTGCTGCCGCTGATGTCGGGATGATTTCATCTGGGAGAAGTCCACTAATAACGAGAATGATCACATAGACAGAGAGAGGATGCATCCTGTAATAGCCAGTGCCAATTGCTAAGTGAGCTTTCTTCATGGAATCAATAACTCTCAGGTACTGCGATTTGATTTCATATCTCATGCAATTTGATCTCATATCTTATGTGCATCAACAAGAAATAGAGTTTAGTGTTCTAGATTAACAAAACTCTAATCCATGTTCGTTGGCCTGCTGTTAAGCTTCAGCAACTGTGTATTGTTAGTCACTAAAACTTCTGTCTTCTCTAATGGTTCTGATAGGATGCTACACAGCCCTGTGTCTTGATAAGATGAAAACAACAAATATCTCATTCACATTTGTCCATTGCTATGGAACAACAGAAGCTGAATCCTAAACTGGGTGCTGCATATATTTAGTTAGTAAACCCATTCCTTTGTTGGCTCAAATGAGGGTCTTCTGCAACCTTCCCTTTCATGTATACACACAATCATTGGCCACACTATTTCATAAACATTAGGAAGCTTTCCTTTTGGTTTCTGTTTAAATGAACACAAAATGTAGCCTATTTTATGGTTTGCAATATATATTCAGGTTTTATGTGTCTGTTATAAACAGTACCATCGCCATTACAACACCTTCAAAGTTTGACCTGATGAGTACTCCAAATAATTTAGTGGAACTAATTGAAGACAATCATTCTCAGATACATTACTTGATATCAAATGCGATTCTGAATCCCAATAGACTTTTCTTCTAAGAGTCGTGTTTTCTAATGGTCCTGTTATAGCTCTTTGCACTTTATTAACTAAAATTATAGATTACATGCACTTTTCTCATTGACCTTCACACTAAGGATTATGGGCCTTGCTATCCATATTTAATGGTACGCAGATAGTTCAGTTCAGTTTTTTCCTTCAGGTGTTACTTTGTTTTCTTCACTCTATTAACCTTCACACTAAGGATTATTGTGATTGTTAATTAACTTTTATTGGTTAAGGTAAGTACCTCAGATTGTCAAGATTAAGTACAACCTGTGTATTATATTCCCTTAATAATTTAGGTATAATTTTTTTTCCTTCTGCTGCTTTCAGTGGTTATCTTATTATGCATATTCGTTTTGTTCTTGCTTGGGTTATGAGAAGGAGTTCTGGAGTCAAGTTTCATAAAAAGATACCCTGATTCCCCTCACCTATTAGTTGAATTTCATAGGAAGTGATTTCTTTGTGTATTTCATTATTATACTTTTATTTAAGTTGCTTCAGATTGATCAAGCTTAGTACTGTAGTTGTTTGTCCTTTCTTCAGCTGTATACCCTTCTGGATAGTGGTACTGAACTTATACATATTGGTCCTCCTTCTGTATAGATCAGTATAGATCCAGCAATGCCAGGGTGAAGCAGTCATCAGAAGCAGAAAAGGCACAAGCTAAATGAAATGATAAGTGTGTTAGATGGTTCCAGAGACCTCAAACAGTGTCAATCTCTAATCGGTACTTGGTAGGTAACCCTACTTTCGATCAAATGCATAGTTGTCTAATTTCGACTGATTGCTATATTCCTTCCAAAATACTGTTTATCTTTCCTTCTTGGAATGGATTGCATGTATGTATTTTGGAATGGACTGTCTATTACTCAATCCTTGCTCCATGGGGACTATTTGTCAATGAATTTAGTAGTCTGCACAAGCTCACCATTGCATACTTTCTAGGACCTTACATAAATTAGCTTGCCCTCTGTTCTCATTTTCTTACAAAACATATTTTTTAATTACATCTTTTAGATTCACTTTCCTAAAATCTGCTTGCTCTTTTTAGGTCTAGCCTGAAATTCGCTTGCCCTTTTTCTCTTACTGACTCACTTTCCTGGAACAGCTCGGCAACCCAATCATTCTCTTCAGTTCTTCCCATTTTAACTTCCTGTTTATAGTTTAAAATTTGTTTGTTCTTAGAGTTTCCTGCCTGAATTTGATTGGTAAGAGAATAATAGGTAGGAGCTGATGGTGATATTGAGGCGATGGTTCTGAGAGAAGTTCTGATTGGAAACATCGATGCAGTTGTTTTGTTCTGCTATAATCTTTCTACTATGACCATGTTTCCCCCAGGTATAATGTGGTTCTTTTCAGTTCTGCATATCGGATTTGTCGCCTTTTCATGCACAACAGTATGCTCAATAGATGAGCGGGACTGTCAATGTTTACTTACCTTTCCTTGCTATCTGCTCTGAACATTTTTCTTTGTCATTGTTTGTACTTGAGATAGAACCCACAGATTATCAACCACAACCTCATATTTAGTTACCAGATCATCTCACTTGGTAAGCTCTTACATTTTATAGAAGTCTAGCAGCAACCCTGTTGTTGGAGCTCCCCCTAACACCTTTCAACCTTCTTCGCTTTCAGTGTTGGCAGTTACATGGATGGGCATTTGATCGACAGTTAAATGAAAGGCGTTGTGGTGGTAAGGTGACTTAAGATGGATCTCAGTAGCCTTTCTTTCCGCTAGGCTCTGCTCATAATCACGAAACTTTGTAATAGGGAACATTGGTATTTTCGTCTGTTCCACAACTGTGCTTCCTGAAATCATTTATCCAGATTTGCTGAACCCAGAAGATGTTTCCTTTCACTGCATAGCAGCTGAAACTGATGCCTAAACAAATTTTGTTATGTAACTTTTTAGATTTTCCTTCAATTAGTAGAGAAAATGTTTAATTCTTTAAAGTCTGTTATTTACTTTCCCAGTAAATAAGCGGATGAACTATAATGGATCTCATTCCCAAATCCCAATGAGAATAGTCAAAATGGCGTGGTGGACTTTAAATTAATTATTGGGCCTATTTTTACTATCCTTTCTCTTTTTTAACTCCAACCACCGAGATGAAAATGAGAACGTTAGCGAGAGTGAGAATTGGGAGCTGAAGCTGGGGGGTTCCTTTCGATTTCTCACTGAGAGTTTCGGTTCTAACATTGCTAATGTATTTTCCAGATTAGTCTTTATTGATCTCATTCGAGAATCTGTTTTGTTTCAAATGGCAACTACATCTTGGTTCCTTTCTCTCTATTTGAGTTCTGTACAATATTTCTAACTGTTTTCGTTATGACTATATCGTTTTTAAATATACTAAACATGACTAAATGCCCTGCGGCGTAGCCGCGGGTATTGATACTAGTAAACAGTAAAATGGGCAATATAAATGGGTTTCTTACCGCAAAAAAAGAGAGGAGGGGATGAGTGACCATAAAAGAGGGAGAATTAGAGAACCAAGGGAGCTGATGCTCGAGAACAAGACAAAAACAATAAGCAGCAAGGAGAAACCGGGAAACAGAAGGCAGCAAGCAATAAATCAACTAGAAAATCAACCCACAAGACGACTCCTCAGGAATTCCAGGTAAGTATATCTCAAATCCAAAATCATCCCTTCACCCATTCATAAGAATAAACATCGCTATGTATGCGATAGAAAGTAGAAATCAATGTTCTTCATGGTAGACAGACATGTATATGCTTAGCTCTTAAGACACAGCTGATTAGGAGCTAAACTCTTGCAAGTATTATGGGAATGCAATCAAATGTGTGTTATTTTTATGGTGCAAAAGATATGCTTGTAATTTAACCATATGCTAGAATTCTTAATCACAAATCAAGGGAGCCACAAACAAAACTAGATCTGATTTTCACTGTGCTTTTCCATGTTATATATTTCAAGCACTTGGTTGAGTTGATTATAAACCCTCATCGATTATCGAGTCATATCTAGTTTAAAATGCATGATTGATCCCTTCTTAACATAGTTGAATTCCCAGCAAAAGAACCCATTTCCAATCCTCATGAAAAGAGCAAAGAAATAACAGGCTCAGACCCATTGCAAACTCTGTTTTAGGAGGATATCATAGAAAGACATTTTCTTTTGTTATCTAGGTAACCCCTCCAAATCCGATCATAACTTAGAATATAACCTTTCATTTTAAACCAAAGTCATAAGCATAGGCCATGCCTTTTTTCTATCATCCTCAGGGTGCAGTATAAGAATCAGAGACACGAAATTTTCTACAATACATAACATATACGACAAACGCACACTACAATCGTTTCTTCAAATCTGAAATCATTAGCAATGGCTAAGACTTTCAGTTAGCTTTGAATCATTTCAAGATAATCAAACAATGGTTTTCATTGGTATCATGAAAAACTTATACTAGATAAACCCCAACAGGAGGTTTTAACCCAAATCTGGTGCTTTGGCATCACCTCGATTTATAAAATAATAAGGAACTAAGTCCTAGTTCGTTTAGAACTCAATTTAGCAAAAGGAAACTAGAGATTAAAGGATTATTACCTGGTACTTGTCCAAACCAGAAAAATCTGCATAAAAAAGAACAAAAGTCAGAAACCATGTAAGAAATAACAAACCCCACAAATTCGAAACGATTAACTAAACCCATCTAATCTAGGAAAATAGAAATAAATAGGGGAAGAACTCACCGAGACCAAATCGGTGTCGGAATCCTCGTCGTCGGCAACTGCTATTCTCCTGCGGCCATCTCCCCATCGCCCTTTCTCCTTCTCCTCCCGTCGGGATCGAGTGCTCAGAGAAACCAAACTAAGAATCGAAGGTTAGATCCCTAAAAATACCCCCCAACTCTGAATCGAAACATAGAAAACTAACATGCAGTGGTACGGAACCACTCACCGGCGATGTAAGGGCCTCCTGAAGCATCGTTGTGACTTTTCTTTTTTTCGATCGATTTTTGGTAGCTCTGTTTCGTTGTTTTCCAGGGAGGAAGAATCGAGAGAGACGAAGGAGAGAAGAGGGTGTTTGTTTTCATTTCTTCTCAGTTTTCAGTTAGTTTTGGCCGGCGAGAGGGATTAGAGGCGGTGTCTGAAGAGTGGGGAGTGGTGATCGTTAGGGATGGCAACAAAACCCGAACCCACGGGTACCTACCCGACCCAATCCGGTCAACGCGGGTAAAATCCTTGTTGACGGGCTTTGGGCCGGGTTTGGTTTAAACCCGTTCACTATTCATCGGGTTGGGTTGGGTTTGGGTTTAGGTAAACCCAGACCATGGGTACCCGCCCACGCCCATATAATTAATTTTCTCAGTATATTTAATATTCTAAACAATTAATCTTATTTATGTTCGTGGAGACATGTCTAATTTTTTTTTTCTAATTGTGTAGAATGAAGTTGATGTTATCATGTGCAGAGTGAAGAAACTTAATTGAAAGGAAGAAGTTTTCAATTAATCATGTTATTTATGGATAATTTGTGATTTGCTTCAATTTTCTTGAGTTTTCTACATTGGTGTTGAACAATTTGTATAGTTAATTTGTGATTTGCTTGAATTTTCAAGAATGTTTTTTTATATATGGATAATTTGTATTGAGAGATTGATATTTGACTTCAATTTTGATAGGAACTTGTTATTGTAATTTTTTTATGACAAAAACCCGTGGGTACCCATGAACCCGCGGATACCCATCGGGTTGGGTTGGGTTTGAGTTTTTCAAACCCGATGGGTTTTACCCCAAGTTTTTTTCACGGATAAACCCATGGGTTTGGGTTTGGAAAAACCCGACCCATTGCCATCCCTAGTTATCGTCGTCGTTTTCTGGCAGGGAAACGAGAGAGAGAACCAAAAACAAAAAATGAGAGAGAGGGAGAGTAAAGCGAGAGGCGGCGGCTGACTTATCCCATCCCTGCCGGTTGGGCGTCAAATGACCGTAATGCCCCTAGAGTTTCTAAACATTTACGTGGCCTTGCCACAATCCTTTTGAGTAATTACCAAAGTGCACTTCCCCCGTCTCTGCACTAAAAAAATGAAAATCGCAAAAATTGTTGAGAGCGAGTTTCGAACCCATGTCCTAATGTAGGAACACGCTATACGACTGGCACTTTAGCCAGTTGGGCTGCTAGCCCATCATACATAAATATAATCATCCCATTTAGTTTTATTTGTTTAAAATCTTTAATACGAAATGTTGAATGCAGATTAAGTTTATCTTGTTTCTTTTATAATACATCAAATTACTTCTTAATAGCTAAAATCCTCGTTTTCTCTTTTCATAACTTCATAATAAATCAGCTTAAATTTCATTAACAAAAATCTTCAATACAAGAACCACGATCGGTGGAACGTGGTAAAAATTACATTTAAAATTATCAAAGTCACAAAACGAACTACGTAGACTTTGATCCCGCCTAACGGGTACGTAGGCAACCGATAAGGTTCGAGTCCGACTAACTAATCAATTTTATCTTCAATTTTTACGTCACGTATAATTAAATTACAACTAATACGATTTAATTTCTTTAGTAGCCCAGTAAGGCCCTAAACCATAACTATAATTTTGCAATATATTAATGATCAAACGAGATCTTAAGAATACACAATTTATATCAAAATACACCCAACACATTTAAACTTATCAAACTTAAGTAGTACTAACTTTAGGCGTTGTGGGGTGTGATTTCACTTTCCCTCACGTAACCGTACTCCCGAACCTAGATTTCTAATCACAGACCAAGCCTCGGTTCTGACCTAAGGTTAGAGCCGACAGAAGAGTGTTCGATCCACTCCAAGTAAGATCGATGGCGACTCCAAAAGCAAACGCGACTCGACCCCGGAGGGACGGTTGCGACAGTTGTCATTCTTGTTTTCGTGCAAAACAACTTCTAAACCCATTTCCTACTAGTTCCATTCGTACTACCAATTGTTTTGAGTTAATTGCACATGGATATTTGGGGTGGTTATCAAACTGCATCTCTTAGTGGTGCTCATTATTTTCTGACAATTGTTGATGATTCTAGCCGTGGGGTATGGGTGTATCTTCTTCGTTTTAAGTCTTAAGTTGGTCGTTATATTGAGATGTTTTGAAACATGGTTTTCACACAGTTTGGTCGCATGGTCAAGAAGATACAGGCTGATAATGGCTTAGAATTTTCTACTGGCACTCTTCGTGATTTTTATGCATGTAAGGGTATTCTCTTGCAGACTTCTTACACTGATACACCGCAACAAAAAGGTGTCGTTGAACGTAAGCATCATCATCTCCTTATAACCGCTCGAGAACTTTGCTTTCAGGCGTCTTTACCCCTTCATTTTTGGGGCGAGTGCATCCTTACGGTTGGCTATTTGATCAACCATTTACCCACTACTGCCATAGAGAACAAAACTCCCTTCGAGATTCTCTTTGGCAAGCCCGCTTCTTATGCTCATCTCCGTGTCTTTGGGTGTCTTGTGTACTGCAAGGAAACACATGTTGATCTTGGGAAGTTATTTGATCGTGGTCCTGCCTGTGTGTCTCTCGGTTATGCTGCAAGCCAAAAGGGATATCGCACCTATGGCTTGGCGTGGCGCAAAGATGATCACTAGTCGAGACGTGGTCTTCTGTGAATCCATGTTTCCTTTTAACCCGGTGACATCTAAATATTTTCACTGGCTCCTTTCGCATGTGTTCCAACAACCTCCTGATACTGGCGCGGATGAGCTGCTCAGCTCTCCTCATGATGGGCTTGGCACCAATCAAGACTCGGCCTAGGAATGGGCGGGTTGCTCAGGTACTCCTTGATCTTGTCATAGGCCATTTGACACTAGCTACACATAAAAATGAGATTGCCATAAATTGACAAGGTAATATTTCCATTTTTTTTAATTAGAAAGGGTGTACCCTTTGAAGCTAGAATGATTCCTTATCTAGGGCTTCTACTCTATTTCGAAACTCATTACTTAGGTTTTTCTTTTTTTGTTCATTCTTATAATTCCAATTATTATATAATTCATCAGAAGAGAATTCCCGAGCCATTCGTTCTCCCCTCTCGGTTGGCCTTTGCCAACCACTAGAGCAAGTAAGAGATCCACCACGTCAAGGTGACACTCTACCGCTGAGTTATATCCCTTCCCTTGCCCCGATTGAGAAATCGAGAAATAGAACTGACTAATCCTAAGGCAAAGGGTTGAGAAACTCAAGGCCACTGAGTAGATGATGGTGCACGGGCCGCGTCCTCTCCTGCCTCAGACCAGCCCGATTCCATGCCTCATCGGCCCAATCCAACTCGGGTCGTGCTGTCTAGCTCGACCCTAGAGAAAAATTATTCGCCAGACGCCAAGTCTCCTCCGTCGACCTTCTTTGATGCTGGGCCAAGTGGCGGCCCTGGGCTGTCCAATCACCCGTCCCAGCAGACCGTTGCTCCTCCTGAGCTTCGGCATGGTGACAGTTGTCTGTGTCCCACCCTAGTGATTGGCGGATTATTATACTGAGCAAGGTGAATTCTGTCTGATATCCCATGGCATCCCATGTTCGCAGTCTACTTGCTGTGGCTATCAGCAAGGGGTGGTACGTTCATCAGTTGGATGTGAATAATGCTTTTCTCCTTGGGGATCTTGATGTGGAGGTTTATATGCGCATTCCTGAGGGTTTTGAAGCACTTGGAAAGACTCGTGTTTGTCAGCTTAATAAATCCCTCTATGGTCTTAAGCAGGCTTCTCGAAACTAGTATCAGAAGTTCACCACTGCCCTCAGTGAACTCCAGTTTCGTGCCTCACATGCTGACCCCACTCTATTTATCTATCAGCGGGGAAGTACTTTTGTGGTCGCCCTCATCTATGTTGATGATGTTCTTCTCACAGGTAATGATCTTGATTTTATCTCAAGCGTGAAGTCCTTTCTTGATGATCGGTTTAGCATAAAGGATCTTGGTCAAATTCGCTATTTTCTGGGCATTGAGGCCACTCGCTCCTGCTGGCATGGTTCTTAGCCATCGCAAGTATGTGCTGGACATTTTGTCTGATGTCGGTGTTACTGGTTGTCGGCCCAACATGTTTCCTGTCGAGTAGAATATCACCTCACTCAGCTCGATGACTCCGAGCCTGCTGAGGATCCATCTTATTATCGTCATTTAGTCTGTCGACTCTTGTATTTGATAGTTACTCGACCGGACATCACATATGGAGTCAATTTACTTAGCCAGTTTGTCCATGTTCCTACTCGTGCTCACATGGATGCGGCTCAGCATATTCTCCGCTACTTGAAGACGTCTCCTAGGCAATATCTCTTCTTCCCCACTAATAATAGTTTACAGCTTATCGCTTACTGTGAAGCGGATTGGGGTGACAGTCAGATTACTCGCCGTTCGACTACAGGTTACTACATCACCCTCGGTGATGCATCGGTGTCCTAGCGCACTAAGAAGCAACAGGTTGTTGCTCGTTCTTCCGCTGAAGCAGAGCATTGAGCCATGGCCAGCACTGTTAGTGAATTGCTCTGGTTGCGGTGGCTTTTGCGCGAACAGGATGGTCCCACACCACTCTACTGTGACAATCAAGCTGCTATCCACATTGCAGCTAATCCAGTCTTCCAGGAGCTCACTAAACATGTTGATATGGATTGCTATTTTGTTCGTGAACGAGTTCAATCTCGAGACATTGCTCCGCTTAAAGTTAGCTCCCATCTCCAGCTAGCTGATCCCTACACTAAAGGGCTTGGTGCTGATCGTTTTCATTTGTTACTAGTCAAGATGGGCGTTCATGACCTCCACGCTCCATCTTGCGGGGGAGTATTAGACGAGGCTGATCCATAGCCCGAGCCGGCCTAATCCAACTCAGACACGGCCCAACTCAATCACCAGCAAAGGATGCCTTCTTCCTCCACCTGCGGTGTCTTTTCCTTGGAAACCCTAGATGATTGTAGTAGGGTTATATATTGTAAGGCCATTGGCCGAGATCAGTTAATCAGTAACAAAAACTACAGTTGGAGAAACTCTTCTCTTCTGTGGACTAGTCCCATATGACGGGGATACGACGTAAACACATGTCTCTTTCATTTATCCTCTTACAATATTTTACCTTTTTAATCCATTAATTAAGAGCCCTGTTGTGAAAACCGGACCTGACCGGCTGGTCTGACCGGAAAAAATCAGACCCGACCGCAAATCCGGTCCCGGAAGCATTAGAACGGGCGGGATGTGTAAAGTTGAACTGACTCCTACCATTTTTGCATTACATTAATTAATAATTAAAAAAGGAAGGAACAAGGCAACAAGATGGGAGAGGTTATAGTGCTAACTTCATAGGAGTTAGCACCGTGATAACTACTCTAATCACGATTCATTTTTTGAAGTTAATTTGACGGTGGTTATTAATGAAGAGTTTGTTCGGTATTTCACAATATTAAAAATAATAAATAATTAAAATATATTTTCTCTTTCCTTCGTGTATTAGTTATTTTATAAAAAAATATTATTTTGGTTTGATAGTAGTGGTTTTTATTTTAAGTGTTATCCATAGTGATTTAGGAATTTATCTAG